CAGCTTTAAGGGAGTTTATAGATACCAATCTGGCTAGAGGATTCATACAACCTGCTAAGTCGCAGATGGCAGCACCAGTTCTGTTTCAGGAGAAAAAAGATGGAAGTTTAAGACTTTGTACTGACTATAGAGGCCTCAATGCTATTTGCAAAGAAAACAAGTATTCTTTACCCCTTATGAAAGACTTGTTAGCGCAATTATCTAAGGGGAAAATTTTTACCAAGCTGGATTTAAGGGATGCATATTTTTGAGTGCGCATTAAAGAAAGGCATGAATGGATGACCTCATTTTCCACCCCTTTTGGCTGCTATGAGTACAAGGTCATGCTCTTCAGGCTTTCTGGGTCCTTGGGGTATTTATGCAACTAACTAATGAGGTGCTCCATGAATATTTGTATCAGGGAGTATTGGTTTACCTGGATAACATCCTTATTTACTCTAACTTGAAAGATCATGTAAAGTTGGTTCGTAATGTGTTAAAAAAGCTACTGGATGCTCAATTATATGCCAAACTGTCAAAATGTGAATTTCATAAACAGCAAGTGGACTATTTGGGATATCACATATCACATGCAGGAATTGAGATGGACCCCTCCAAAGTAAATGATGTTCTGGGGTGCAAAGCCCCCAAAACTAGAAGGCAATTGCAAAGTTTTCTGGGTTTTGCTAATTTCTACCGCCAGTTCATTCCAAACTTTCCACAGGTAGCATTGCCTCTAACTGATTTGTTAAAAACCAAAGGCAAAGGAACACCAAAAGCCCAAAGGCCTGGAGCCCCTTTAATATGGACTGAGGAGTGTCAGAAAGCCTTTAAAGCTTTGAAAGCATTATTTACTGCTGAACCAATTTTAAAGCACCCTGAGCCAAATCAACCCTTTGTAATTCAAGCTGATGCTTCTGATGTGGCCATAGGAGCAATGTTGCTTCAAAAAGACGAAGGGGGATCACTGAAGCCTTGTGCCTATATCTCCCAGAAGTTTATGGAGACAGAAAGGAGATGGCTTATTTGGGAAAAAGAAGCTTTTGCAGTTCGCTGGGCTTTAATGACATGTAGACACTTTTTGGAAGGGTCACCACATCCGTTTGAAGTTTGGATGGATCATAAAAACCTAGAAGCCCTTACAACACCTAGAAAACTTCTCCTAAACAAGTGCATTGGGCTCAATTTTTCAGCTGTTTCAAGTTTACGCTGAAGTTTATCCCCGGAGGGAAAAACTCTTTGGCTGATGCTTTATCCAGACTGCCTCAGCATAACAGCCAAAGAGAGCAGATAGTCGCTCCCGTTATCCCAAAATCACAACCAGGCTCAGTGGCACTCTCCAGAGCTCGAACCAGAATTCCTAAACAAGCACCTACTAATGAACTGCTTAGTAAATTAAATGCAGCATTGGATTCAGATGAATGGTTCCAGCACAATAAAAATACTTTAACCCATGAACAACAT